AAGCGCTGCCGCAGCGCGGACAGCGGTACCGGGCCGCGTCCCCCGCCCCGCACTCCGCGCACGGCCCCGAGACCCGCATGGCTGCGCTCGCCGCTTCCGCTTCCGCTTTGCCGGCCAGGGCTGCTAATCCACCGCCGAGCGCCGCCGGCCAGGCGCGCTTAATCCACCGCCGAGCGCAGCCCTACGCAGGGCATTTTCCGGCGCTACTTGGAGATATTTCCATAAATAGATAAATATAGAGCGATCTATGGATATAGATACATCGAGAGATAGCTCTGCATATGGGGAAAGCAAGAGGGAGTTGAGAGAGAGATGTATACATCGAGATAGGGATAGAGGTATAGATATGGGGATATATAAAATATATAAATAGATGTAGATATGGAGATATAATAGAGAAATACATATATATATTTATAGTGAGAGAGATATAGATAGAAAGATGAGGAAACAACAACAAAGCAAAGAAACTGGAAAGAAGTCCCTGAAAACTCCAAGTGGGTGGGATGAATGTGAGGACATCATCACTGTGGATTTTTATGGAATTTTATTGCTGTGCGTTGATGAAATACCACGGAGCAGCAGCTGAGCAGTGCAGAACCAGAAACATGAGCTGATGTTACAAAAACTATCCAATCCAGGCTTCTAAAGAAGTTTAAACATTGAGATTCTTCTAGGCAATATCCCAGTGTAACTAAGAATAAGCATCCATCTCCACTGGGATCTGACAGAATAATATCTACTAAATAAATACCCAGTAACCAACTCTTTTTGCTTTTGAGAGGGAGGAGTTCAGACCTTTTTCTTTTACAAAACACCTGGTCCTGACATTTTTATTTCTTTTTTTACAGGCAACTTGACTGCAGCTCTGATCCTGAGGAGCCCAGCCAAGGTTTTCACCTGTAACAGTACAAATGTCACAAGCCAGGGACTTGAGTGTGCCCTCAAAAGCAGAAATATGAAAGCACAGCCAAAATATCTCACAAAACCACCTCATCCAGCAATTAAAATTACAGCAGGGAAACCGCTCTGAGTGCCCCTGTTAATAAAGATTCATCCAGCAGTCAAAAGTCACAATTTGACTGACTAAACAAGAAGGTAAAACACTGTTATTCCCCCAGATTCCTGGGAATTTTCCAGCTGTTTCACCCTCTCCAGAGCCACAACCCACACAGAGGGACGTGAGGGCGGCGAGCGCGGCCGCGGCGCAAAGTAAACACCGATAATGGAGTTATTTTTAACTGCAGGGAGAGCAGCTCCCGTTCCCCTTGAACAGGCAGGCAGAGCTTCCCGAGGGACAGGGACAGCGGGGACCCTGCTGGGAGGAGCCACCAGGCCCCATCCTCCATCCCCGGGCTGGTTCTGCAGCCGGGCAGGGAACCATGGAGCTGCCAAGGCTGGGAAAGACCCTGAGATCACCAACCCACCACATCCACCACCAAACTCCCTCAAGGCCCACGTCCACACGGGTTTTTGAGCCCACCGTGACCCGCCGTGCGCGTTTGGATCCCTGTTCCTGGTTAGATGTTCTCGATGGTGCAGGCCCGCACGCGGTTGGCCGAGAGGCAGCGCAGCGCCTTCAGCTTGGCCCCCAGCGCCCTGAACTTGAGGGTGTAGAGGATGGGGTTGCCCAGGCAGGTGATGGTGATCAGCATGGCTGTGCAGTTCCTGAAGATGTACACCCCAGGGTAGAGGTCGGTGTGGCAGCGCTGGTTGGCGGCGTCGAAGATGACGCCGGCGAAGAACGGCGCGTAGGACACCAGCGCCAGCAGCCAGATGGAGATGCTGGTCCTGGCCACCTGCGTCTCTGCCGACTTGTAGGTGCCCATGGCTTGGCTGCACGCCTGCATCCTCAGCTTCCTCTTCCTCAGGATGATGATGATCCTCAGGTAGGTGAACAGGGGCACGAGGAAGGCCAGCGCCACGTTGGGCATGGCGATGAAGACGAGGTAGTTGACGCAGAAGGGGCTGTAGAGCACCGAGATGTTCCTGTCTGCGTGCAGGCAGTTCCAGCCCATCAGTGGCAGGCAGCCCAGGAAGAAAGCCAGGACCCAGTTGATGAAGACCACGGCGATGGAGTGGTTCCTGGCCACCCTGAACCTCGTCCTCATGCTCTCGGCCACGGCCAGGTAGCGCTCGATGCCGATGCTCACCAGGTTGTAGATGGTGGATAAGATGGACGTGGTGTAGAGGGCGTAGGGAGCCAGCATGTCCTGGGAGCCGAAGATGGTGATGTCGGGGTTGGTGATGAAGAACATGGAGATCCAGAAGCCGGAGAAGCTGGTGAAGAGGTCAGAGACAGCCAGGTTGCAGAAGAGGATGGAGATGGGCTTGTGCAGGTCCCTGGTGGCCAGGCGGGTGAAGATGACGGTGCAGTTGAAGATGATGGAGGCCACGTTGATGGTCAGCTGGGGGATGCCCAGAGCCAGCACCAGGTAATGACTCCAGATCTTGGTGTAGTTGGCAGAGCAGTTTGGGAACCCATTCATGGTGGGAAACGCTCCAGGCAGCCCCTGATGAGGCCGGCTTTGCTCATCCCATACTCCCCAGGAGCTCCCACCTGGACCCCGGGCACAGAACCACTCCTGACACACAGCTCCTGCTGCCACATCATCATCGTGACGGGGATTAAACTTTAACCAGGTGTGTTTTTAAATATTTGGGTTGCCAGCTCGGGGCTGTGCCGATCACCCGGAGTTGCTAGGATAGCCCAAACTGCAGAACACATTTCCCACACGGATGAGCTGCTGGAAGCAACCTTTGACAAGAAAAAAGCCCGGCCAGGGCTTGGGGAGATGAGGGGTCACAGCTGCAGTTTGAGGTTCTCCGTTCTAAAATGGAGTGAATTCGGCTTTAACTCAGGAATTAATTAGATCAGAAAGGATTAAAGAGTCAGGAAAGGGAGAGCAGAATTTTGTGGGTTTGGAGGGGGGAGTGTGTGGCTGAGGGAGCTGAAATAAAACATCAGTGCTGTGTCACCAGCCTGGACCCCAGCAGCCCAGAAAATCCCTTTTCCCACTTAATCCTTTCATGGTGACATAGCTAAAACCCAACCAGCATCACTCCCCATGCCTTTGCAACAGGATGTTTTGTGTTTATTTCATCTGGCTTGTTCATTAATAAACCATTACCAACACCGCTGTAGCTTTTCTTTCTCCATCTTTTTAAATGGAAATTATTTTTGAGGACTTTGATTGAAAATACCTGAGACTTGAGGGGAAAAAAAAAACTCTGGGGATGCACATTCCATGCTCTCAGCAGAGGGCACTGCTGGAATAAAATACAGGGTACAGTGGGAGCAGGGAGATTTTAAATAGCAGTCCAGGTGAGCAGGATAATTATCCAGGTAAAGCCACTTTATTTATTCTGATTCAATTTCCAGTTTATTGTTACTCTGATGAAGGATTCATCTTCACTGGGCACAATTTTCTACCACAACCTTGTCAAGCAGCTCAGCTGAATTTATGGGCTCCCTCATTCAGCACTGATCATTACAGCAGCAATTCCAGGCCCAGAGATGGGAATCTGGGAACTCTGATAGCTCTGCCAAATATAAAATTTAAGAAATGTAGGCTATAATTTTGAGTTTAAAAAGGGGAATTCTAGGGCTTTTTTTCCTATCAAAGTGTATGGAAGTATATTCAGTTTATTGTGCAGTCAGCACCCACAATTTTTGTGTAATAGGAATACTTTATAATTAATTAATACACTTTTTAAGCATGATTATTATACTTCATACAAGTCTAAGTAAGCAATAAATATTTCAGATGGTCACAAGGGAACGATTACATAGAAATAAGGGCTGAGAATTGATCAATCAAGCCTGGGGGTGTATTAACACCCTATGAAATACTCCTCTCCCAGTGTCCCAGATAAACCACCCTTTGTAATCCCAGCTGGGGCAGCCCTGGCAGCCACACCTCTGGTGTGAGGTTGCTGCTGAACAAGGGCCCCACTATTTCTGTCACCTCTGTGCCAGCCCAGCAAATCCTTTCACTCCCAGCAGCAGTGGAGCACAGGACACCGGTGATGAACAGTTCATCCACACAGCAAAATGGCTCTGAAAATACCCTGGTGGCTAAAAATATCTTATCTGTGAATTTGGGCTCCAAAGGGCTCCAGATGCTCCTGAAAATGCTGCTTGAAGTTGCTCTAATTTGAAAATTTGGTGCTCGAGCACAGAACGCTAAACGGTGTGAGATCAGAATGTAATTAAAGTAATATCAAGTGGTATAAATAGCTCTCCACAAAAGATTTGTAATCTGATTTGCCTAATAGAATTGCATACAAATTACCATCATGTTGCTGGATTAAGGGAGACAATAGTGTGGAAGCTGCTTTTTTAGTGGGCTTTAATGTACAGAAACCCCCAGATTTGTTCATTCCAACCCTCTGTGATGCAGCTGGAGCTCCCAAAACCAGATGAAAAACACTTTCAATTTAAAGCCCAACCTCTTCATGGAACAACCTCAACTCAAGGGCATTTTCCTACTCCCACATTCCAGGAACTGTGCAGCATTCCCTGTACTTACCTCACTGGACACTTGTGAGGAAATTCTTATCTGCATCCATAAATGGGGAAAGAACAATCCCATTGTTTGTTTAAGGTGACATGGGATTCTGGGGAACTCAATCTAATCTCCAGGATCTCAATCTAATCTCCAGGATCTCAGACTGTGCCTTGCTGTGGGCAGCCTTTGATTTATATTTGGTGAGATTTCACCTTCTGCAACATTTCTTTTTTTAGTTCTGTGATTGTATTTACATTTCTTTATCTGAATGCCCAGCTGGTTTTGATGTATGTGTAAGAAATGACCACATTTTGTGGAATTATCTGTTGGTTGTGCCTGTGGGGAAGACAATAACCACTGACCACGCCGAGGAGACTGAGAAAGAGGCTTCAGGCTGAATTTTTAGTGATGATTCAAGTGTGGAAAATCCAGGTGAAAATCAGCCCACAGCCTCAGAATCGCCCCCAGCCACAGCTGTCAGCCTCCAGTGGGACCCACAAGGAGAGGCCCCAGCTGGGACACACCAAAATTGATCCCAAAACAGGGAATTCATCCAGGAGCTGAGCCCCAGCCCTGCAGAGTAACCCT